ATGAGAGAGACACTAGTGAAAAAATTGTCACAGAAAATCCAATAGTTTTTGTCATAAAGTTCTTCACACAAAGTGGTCACAACTTTATGTCCAAGCCCCTTTCCTTGCACGCCATCCTTTCCCTCGTAAATATTGAAATCACACATGCATCCAGACACTGAGTTCACTCGAACGCAAGCTTTTATCCCTCTTTTGATGGGTTTCATTGGTATATATTGCCTTAGAGAGGTTCCTCCCTTTGTAAGCAATCACGGCTTCATCAACTGCCTGGATGTAGTGAGGACTGTACTGCTGTTAGAAACGAGTTTTCAAAGCATCTAAAAGAGGCCTCACCTTGTACAGCTTGTCAAATCCAGGTTGTCCTCGAGCTGGCATTTTAGAATTGTCACTGAAGTGAAGATACCTCAGAATTACAAGAAATCTGTCCCTTTGTCATTGCTGAAGCAAATGCTGGGACTCCTAAAACCCACTCTTTTGACCAGTAATGGGAAACTTGGGGCAACTGTTTGATGCCCATTCCAATTTGTGAACTAACCCAGGCTTTCAATTCAGCCACAGTCAAAGACTTAGTCCAAAGTGGGCTTTTTTAACCTGCCTTAACTTGGCTTTGTTCAGCGAACCTGTTGGTTTCACCGACAATGTACTCAAGGAAGTCCATGTGGAAAAACAGTTGAAAAAAATCCACGGCCGATGCTTCCTCCGGTAGTTTTGGACCTGTTGGCTCTTCACATGCTGGTGGGGGATTTATTTCTGCCACAGGTTCTTGCCACTGAAGCCAGCGATTTGGAAAACCCTCAAAGGCTTCATCGCTACTATCTTCTGCAAACAAATTTGATATGGAGTTGGTGTCAGTTCCATCGCTTTGTGATGAATCGGAATGCTCACAAACAGTTGAAGATTCAGTATTTTCTCTTCCTCTCCTCCTTCTTTTCCTTCAAGGCCCCTGAACTTCTTCTTCGCTTGAACTATAAACAGGATTTGTTGAAGATCCTATCTCGCCAGCCAGCTCTATTTCTTCTTCTTCTTCCAATTCTAAGTCAGAGTTTTCGCCATCAAACGGTATTCTAATCGAAATAACTCCATATCTTTCAGGTGCTCTCCTTTCCCTTTGGTTCTGTGATGCCATTTTTAAAGTTTCACGATATTAACGCCGAAAAAAATTCGCAAAATTACAGTTTTTAATGAGTTTCCACGTGCTACGCATCAAATGAAAGCTTTTTTCACTGAGAACGCAGTAGGTACTTTTACATGAAGGGGGGAAAGACCGCTGACTCGAAAAACATCCAAAATGTGCACTATGTCATTTGCCCCGGTTAGATCGGGGTGTAGAAAGAAAAGGGTTAAAGAAATATAAAGTTTACAATACTTTATGTCCTGGAAATAGCTATAATGCTAATCTAGGCAGGACAAGACTTTCAATAAAGACGTTATTAAATTGCATGAGAAAAAAAGAAAAGAAAAGAAGTACAATAACATACAGAAAGAAACACCTTGCATATAACTTCAAGTACAGGAGATTTTGTTGTTTGAAAAAGAGTAAAATTACAACTGGAGGTATATACAACATATCAGATTAACATTCAAATAATTACCTCCATTACCTAGAACATTAAGGAGTAGTGATTTAATTTTTTGACGAAAATTAGATATGTTTAGAGTCTTAAAAGATAGTGGAATAGAATTCCAAAATAGACACACCAATTCTAGTAAAAGATTTTTTTTCTTTTTTTTCAATTCTAGAGAATTTGACAGAGAAACATTCTTTTGCAGATGATCACGTATTATAATGATGTTTTGTATTGATTTTTGCAACCACTGCACAAAAACTCTGACAATTCCTCACTTTCATCTGCAATATCAGTACTTGTGTACTGCTTTTCTTTTCTGTGGCTGTTAATTTTGTCTGGATCTGGATCCACAATCTCCTTGTCTTTACCTGTTGTCATATAGTCATGATCTCATTTCATGAGCTTGGTTTTTGTTTTTAATCCTTTGCCTGTGTAGCCACAGCTTTTCAATTAAAGCTTCAGTTCTGATATCTTTAGCTCTTCAGGTTTTCACCCAAGAACCAGATGCATCCTTGAATATGGCTTCTTTCTGGTTTACAAATTAATCTGAGGATGGAATAAGTTCAGGAATTTACTGGAGGAAAAAATTGTGACCCCCTTTGGGAAAACAGACACTAACGCTTTTCCGTTAAACGGACAAGAAAAACGGTTCTAAATGGATAGTAAACGGTTAACTCAAGCGTTTAAATGGTTTCCATAACTCTTTAAACAGATAGCAAAAAATTTAAACGGTTGACCAAAGTCCAAAAACGGATAGCTTGAAGTGTTAAATGATTGACCAGAAATATAAACGGTTAGCTTGAAACGTTAAGCGGTTGACCAAAATCCAAAAATGGATGGCTTAAACCATTAAACGGTTGACCAAAGTCCACAAACGGACAGCTGGAAACGTTTGAAAACTCATGAGTCGGCAAGATCGTTCCAGGAAAAACAGTTACTTAGAACGCTAAACGGATAGTAAACATGGAGTATAATAACTTGGAAGAATTGTGGTAAAATGTAACCGTAATACCATCTGAAAAGCCGTATCCGATGAACTTTGTTCATTTGTTCACTTCTCGTTTGCCCTGAGCTAAAACCCGAAACAACAAAATGAAACGAGCGAAAGCACCAAAACCAAAACCAAAACGAAGAGCGAATCAAGCGAAATCGTTTCGGGGGTCTCGCTTGTTCCGGTCATTTCGTTTTTTTTTTTCATAACGATGATATCTCAAAAATATTTCCGAAACATGCGTACAATAGGTGTAACTAACTCTTTATACTGACGTGAAACCGTAGCTGTTATATTGCGAATAAACACTCCAGGTTTAATTCATAATCTCTTTCTTGAAAATGAACTTCACATGTTTCATCTTTTGTTGTGAAGTTCCATGAAAAAAATTTGCATATGCAATGAACTTTGTCACAAGCCTAAATGCATCAGGGTCAAATAATGCGACACGCTGGAACTAAGATTAACATCGTAGTAAGGAACGAGTGTCTGACGAAACTTGTTAAAACTTGCAATATCAGACTTGAAATGAACTAGTTTACAAAACATGATTCTAACAGTATCTGTACTGAAGATTGAAGGCTGCCGGCGTCGACCGGTGTACAGCTCCCTAACACGAAGACGACGACGACAGAAAAATGAATGACATTCCTAGACTTGGACCTCCAAGAGGAAGTCTGACTTAAAACAGAAGTTTATTATTTCCATGTCGTTGTATGAAGTTCAATTTCAAACAAAAAGGTCAAATCTATGGCCTCGTCCACACTATGCCGGATAAATTTGAAAATGCAACTTTATTGTTACGGTTAGGCCTGCCGTCCACAAGATCCGCAAAAAATGGAACTTTTTGAATACGCTCTCTAGAGTGGATCAATTTGAAAACACAACTTTTTTGTATTAGTGTGGACAGATAACTTTTCGTATCGCGAATTTTTTTAATATCAATAAGCATGTTAAGTTTAGACAACCAAGAAAGATGGATCGAGATGGTGTAAACAGGAGGGATTGCGCACCGCGGCTGAATTTGTACCACTGAAAACGCCGAACACTTTCTGATAAATGCAAGATAACATAAGGTCAGTTCAACTTTATTCAAACTACACTACAGTAAATCAAAGAAAACAATTTCCAGGCCTGCTGTGGTTACAATTAAGGTGACTCGGCCCAGTTTTTTTTAGGGGGTACCATCCTACTTTGAAGTTCTCTGGTATCCCCACCTTTAATTTTATCATAAGTATAACACATAAAATGGATAACATATAGATCAATCTACAATATAACATAAACATTTTTCTGAACAAGAATGCTGTATAATGACAGACTAGAAACAATAGACAACTCCCAAAGCACAAACTCAGCCAAAACGCTAAAAATCTTCAATGTTCACTCAAGTTTGGGCTTATAGAAGATAATGTCACAGTTTTTCAATGACCATGAAATTCAGAGTCCGGCTTGTTAGTTAATCAATTGTGGCCCTGAAAAAATATGAAGGAAAAAAACTACGAATGTTTAAGAAAATGCTTTTTTCGTGAGATTGACTCTTAAACGCTGACAAACGTCAACAAGTAGCGAAAACTATAATTTCTAAATGTTCGCTTTGCTTGAAATCGCGAGCATTTACAAGGCCCTAAAGCGTTTTGCTGACTTGCAAGGACCCATCTGTTATAAGGATGCCCAAAATACAGAGATGAATCTCATAGTTTATAAGGTATAATCCGTGTAAAGTTTGCTTATCATCTTCGCATAAATTATGACCTAAATTTGGAAACCGCTGAATTTCTGGAATTGGGTCTTTGCGATTTTGGTGAAACTCTGTTCAGCGCAAGGCACTAATGCGCACTATTTGTAGCTGAGAGATTTTCACAAAAAAATGCCGGCAACAGCAGATATTCGACTCAGACCTCAAAGGGGCGTGGCATAACCACATGACATTTACTCCGATCGCCAAAAATTTTATGTTATATTGTAGATTGATCTATATGTTATCCATTCTATGTGTTAGACTTACGATAAAAGTAAAGGTGGGGATACCAGAGAGCTTCAAAGTAGGATGGTACCCCCCCCCCCAAAAAAAAAAACTGGGTCAAGTCACCTTAATAGTCGCAAAATCAAGTTGCAAAGTTTAATTCCTTAATTTTCCTTTTCTACAGCATGCTTATTTATGTGTTTACCAAGGTGACACTTAGAATTAGTTTTGCTTTTAAAACATTTCCACACTTTGTCCTTTTCCGTGGCAGATTCAGGGGGAAAACGGCTAAAAACCAGCACCTTTAAGGCTTGAAGCTTTGTAATATCCAGCCGCTGTTTGTTGTGCGTTCCCTCAGTGTTGCTATGGCTCAGCTCTTCCGATGTAAAGAAGAAGGGCAGAAGCTTAAGGGTGCACCGGTGCCTCTCTTTTTCCCTCTCTGACACGTCTCACACCCCTTTCGACTTGCTAGGCGTTACGAATGTCTGATGACATCTTTGCCAACTTTTTGGTCATCGTGGGAACTGGATGGCTCGAGTATCGACGTCTCTGGTGTAGAAGGTGCTAGTAGGGTTGAAGGCACTTGGTCAAAGTCCGCTAATATTGGATCATTGCTGAGCGATGCGAAAGCCTCGTGGTCTATGGTCGGTAGGCTATCAGTCAGAGGAAGTGGATCAAAATTCACCTTTGGATCACTGAACTGGAAAAAAAGAAATATTTTCTCGTTAGTTTCTTACCAATGACACTAAACAAGGTCGATTTCCTCATACATTTAATAATACGTGAAGCAATGAACCCGGGGTAGCCAATCGAACAGAACAGAACCAAAAATCAATCGCACTCAATCATTCGACTGGAGTTCGATTGGCTCCGGTAATTGAACATAATCGAACTGGATCTTTTCGGTGAGTTCGATTAATTTTGATTACTGAACCCAATCGACATGATTGGTTCAATTTTGTTCTGTAAAAAAATGAAACGGGTTACAAAAATTGATAAGGATTTCACTCTTAAACCGAGTTTTAACTAGAGGAGCAAGTGGGAGAGATATTAACTCATTTGAATTAACTATTGTTTAGGTGACTCGAAATTGATAAATTCACAGTAAATACTGGATAACACGAACAGCTGAGTACACTATGTAAAACTGTCCTTATATCGCTTGTGATAACACCGAATGGGGATATTCTTAACAGATTTAATCCGCCGTCACTAAAGTTTCGTTTAGATAACTAATAAACGACCATTGACACTGGATCTTGAACTGTTCGATTACGTTCGATTGAGTTCAGTTATGTTTGATTTTGCAGTCCTGGATTACCGAAGGTTCAGTTGTGTTCGATTGGGAAATTTTTTGGATGAGTTCGATTAAGTTCAATTGCCAAACCCAATTGTACTCAATCGCTCGATTGCGTTCTATTACCGGACGTTCGATTGGCTTCCCCAGGAATGAAGAACGAGTGGGAATAAAGTTGAAAATATACCTATTCAGTTTCAACTGTAAAGCGTAAATAATTCCTCCGAAGTCAATTTCAAGTGCAATTCTTTTTCATCCGTTCTGGTGACGAAGGCAAAGATGCTCTGTATCCTAGCACGATTTTCTTTTTGACAAATCCATTCCACAACAACCTTGCACAAATCTTATGAAAGAACAACAACTTACCACTTTTTCTAATGAATCCAGGCGGTGCTCAATTTTGTGTAGCCTTTGGGACATGTTGTCCTCCATTGCTGACAGTGTGTCCTCTAATGTCTCCATCATCTGTAGAAATGTGATGTGGGTTAGTACCATAGATTAACTACGATTAGGAGGCGTCGATACTGACATTAAAGCCTGCTTTCTGGCTGGCCACTAGTTAAAAAGACTGATTCTTGGAATTTTGGTCTGATAAGGTAAATTAGAAGATTGTATCAAAATAACACCAGCGCCTGATTCTCAACCATAACCTCAATTACATTCAGACATCTTTGATTTTGGAAATGAGATCGTGATATTTTTGTGATGTCTCTTTATATGTTTTTGAAAATGCAGATTAAAAGCCATCATTGTGCTGACCTTGCAGAAGCTTTCCTGTACTTTATTACGCACAGCTTCCACAACAGAAACATTGGCACGCTGAAGACAGTCGAGTTGGCTCTTAAGGGTTGTACACTCAGCTTCCTGGGCTGAAAACTGCTGCTTTATTTCTTCGAAGTCTTTGTTTTGCTCCTCCGTGATTCCTGCTTGCTTCTTGGCTTGATGTTATGACCACTCTGCCTCCCTCTTCCTCTGTTCTGCCAGAAACTCAGCGTACGGATCTGGAACACTAGTCACTGGACTTGCCTGGGAGTGAAGGCATTGTTTATATAAGACACTGTTCACTTCTTACGAGCTTTATGCCATAATCGACTCGCAAACAAATGAGCTACTTAATCATGCAACTGACAAAGGAAACCAGTCTTAGATTTCGGAAACCGATTTTGCAGGGCGACAAAGTCTCGTGAACGATCTTCTTCTTAGAACGAAAATCTCCTCCACTTATACAACAACAAACCATTTAAATGTTTTCACGAATGCATGAAACGGATGCAATTTTTTTTAAACAGATAAGCAAACCGTTTAAACATTTTCGTTAAAGCGTTAAACGGATGCAACTTTTTTTAAACGGATAAGCAAACCATTTAAACGCTTGCATGAACCTATTAAACAGATTTAAACAGATAGTAAACGGTTTCCCCGTTTAAACGGAAAAGCATTAGTGTTTGTTTTCCCAAAGAGGGTCACAATCATAACTTTTCTTTTGGACACAAAAAGTGGTAGATGCAACAGAATTTATTTGCTGTGCTTTTTTTGGGCACAGTATGGTTTTAATCTGAAAAAGTTGACCTGTGCGAGAAATAATGGTCAAAAACTGAGCACAGAATTAATTATGACATTTTTTCCTGTAAACCTGTATTCCAAATGCTTATTTCTGGTTCAGCCATCAGTTATTCTGAAAAACATGTCCTGATCTTTTAGCTAGTCGGATTGCCTTTATGGTAGACTGAATGCATCGATTGTAGTTTCGATAGCAACTATTTGGAAGAAATATCTGAAATAGACTGGCATTCATGAGGTTGGTTTGTTAAAAAAGGATACTTGAATGTAGAAGAAATGAATTATTCCACTTCTGCTAGGCATTTTTTTAGTGAAAAGGCTCTGTCTTTGCGTAATTGAAAATCAGTATTGCCTAGCCTTGAGACAGTCAATTAATAAGCTATTGAGTATGTAATGTCCACCAAATATGACAGTTTACTCAAGTCATCAACAGAGAGCACAGATAATTTGGCTACTGTTTTGTTGTGAAAAGATGAGTGGAGAGTAGAAGGGACATAATTTAAGAAGGTGAATTAAAAATTATCACAATGGATATAATACAAATCAAAAGGAAGGCTACAATGTGCAAAGAAAAGTTGATCCAACATATGTTTCAGATTTATTTGAGAACACTGATATTGCAAATAAATGCGTCAACTGCAGTTTCAAACGAGACGGCAGAGGGCAAGTTCATGTTTATGGTGTTCAAGGAGTTGTAAATGTCCCTGGCAGATTATCCTTTATAAACAAATGAAGATGTGTCTAGGCTAACTCTTTGTAACCTGTAACATGCACATCACCAATCAAGTAAAGGAATTGTGATAAGGGTGTAAATACATAAAGATAAAGACACATTTTACACATTCAAGACTCCTTCAACGTCAGAAAAGATTGCATTGACGTAAAAATTTTCGGTCAAAACAGGTTGGACAAAGTTTGTCTGATGGCAATTGGCTGACACCACCTTTAACAACAGGAGAATTCAAGCAAACTGCTTCTTGGAGCTCGTAGCATTTTCCTTTTCTCTTATCCTGAGATGGAAATCTTGCTTCCCACTTCCCTGTCCTTTTGGTCCTCTTTGTTAATTTCTGTTTGGCAAACTGATCTCTTGTTTGCTGATTGTTTAATATATTCGTCGTCTTGGGCTGTCATATCAGCATTGTTGGATAGTGGTGTGTACTATGTTCTTCGAGCATAGTTTTTTCAAATCCATAAGTGGACTGCTAAGTACAGGCTTGCAGCGTCCAAACAGCAATGTAGTGTAGGAAATAGCCTGTATTGTTGGGTGCTTGATTCCTGAACAAAGACATAATCTGTGAAACGAAAAAAAATGTAGGAAAAGCAGAAGGTTAATAACAAACGGAAAAAACTGACCAGTTTAACCTCTGAAAAAACTTGAGCCAGTTTTAATCTTCAAGTAGTTCTACATTTTGTATGTTTTTTTATTACCAATCCAGGAGCTTTTCTTTGTGTGGGTGGGTTGTAGACTAAGGAGGTCTCAAGCTCTTGGTTTTGAAACTAGAACCCTGCTTCTTAATGTTGTGTTGCAAGTTTCGCGGGTGGAAGCGAAATATTTTGTTTTTAGTATTCAATATTCAATATTCAAACATCAATATTTAATATTCAGTGCTCAATATTCAATATTCAGACTTCCATATTTATCTTATCTATTTATACAATTATGACCTTCCTCATTTCTCATTGTTTTTCTATGAGAGATGTCCATTATCTCAGCCTACCAAGACACAATGTATTCCTTTGCAATGAGTATTACCTAATGGCAGAGGTCCTTCAGAAAATATCAAATTATCAACAAAACTTGCTCCTAGTTACATTGCAATAGACTATTATCTGTTGGTAAACGTTGGTAGAAAAAGGCTTGACCTGGTTACAAACATTGGCCCAGTCTGGTGGCACTAATCCCCAACTGATTTTCAAAGTGAGAGTACAAATAAAAACAAAATATAAACAGTGTCAAAACATTGACAACCTTGACAACCTTGTCATTGTAAATTATATATACATGATCTTCAAATAAGTAATTCGAAATTGCATTCGCACGCCAGTATCATGCCAATATTAAAATTACTCTGCATCACTCTGCACTATTTACGACAGCCATGCAAATCCTGATTTCCACATATGCAGTATCGCAAGATGATCAGTCTCCGCTAAAACAGCATTAATTGTGTGGCGGATCGCTCTGCCCTGGTACTGTAGGTTGTATGCTGCGGGTGGCGTTCATCAATATCTGATTCAAAACAGACCATATGCTCTGCCGTCAAGAAAACAAGGTTGAATTCCTCGAAGGATGATTTCTTGATGAAAAGTTTCCCTTCCTCCATGAAAAGAAAAATGACCATTCTTTTGAACTTTCTCTTTCCATTTCAGGGGTTTCATTAAGTTTTGAAGTAGGAGGGTTCTCGTGGTAGAGTAAGTGGGCAGCCCTATATACTGAAGGGCCGAAGGCCCGAGCTTCTAGGGGGTCCAGGGGCATGCTCCCCCGGAAACTTTTTCAAAATTAGACTTTCGCAAATGTATTTTCCAGCATTCTGAGGTGGAAATTTATAATTCTATTCCCTCATTTTGCAAACGAAAATTGTGAATAATTTGCGGAGCTTTTACTTATACTAGCAATGTTGTAACTGTTTACAGCCTTAGAGAATTTGCTAAATTGACAAGCACAAAGTGACTTCATGAAAACCAATAATGTAACTAATTTTGTAACTTTTTGCAGCCATAACAGTATGAATAATGAACCAAACATACTGGCTTACCGGTATATTGCTTAGTTAGTTTGATAGTGAGCCACACTTGCTTTTCTGGTTTAAATTATAATAACTGAAACAAACATTATATAGATCGTAGAGTTTCATGAATGAACTCCTCCTGTGCTGTTTTGCTGCTTTCATTCATGAAGAAAACTTAAAGTCAATCCTAAATACGGCAACTAATGTATGAAGCTTAAAAGGACTACACTATATGTCATGGGAAAATTCAATGTCAGAGCCATAATCTGAATCATCATCATCATCTGCTGGTAGCTCCAATGCTTTTGAGGTTTCATCTACTTCATCTGCAATTGTACGTTGAACTGGCTGAATGACGCTGTCATCATTTGTCTGCACACCAGCATCCTGCATGGTTACCGTTACAACGTTCTCACTTATACCACTTGAACTGGCGACCAGTGGTGTGCTGACAAACTTTGGAGGACACTTTCGGCGTGGTTTGGCAGCTAACCAAGCTCTAACAGAAGCATCAATCACTCCTTCAAATTCCTTACTTCCCACTTTAGGACTGTTGATGAGAATATGTAGCAGAGCGTTGAGCATGTCATTCTTCATTCTACTTCGAAGCCTTGTCTTCATCAGTTTTAAAGAACTGGCACCCCTTTCCGGCCATGCATTCGAGACTGGAAGAGAGATCACTGCCTCTACCAACTTTGCAATAAGTGGAAGATTAAATGGGACCAGGTCCTTCAGGAACATTAGCTTCTGGAGGCACCAATCAGTTGAAGTGACTGTAGGTTTGCTTCCACCAGAGAGCTTTCTTACTTCCTCAGGCAATTCGTTCTTCCATTTTGCCAAGTCGTACTTGAATACCTGCCACTCATCCATCAACTGCTTTTTGTCGCTTTCATCATCAAAGAACTGCTCAGCCAGAAGTTTCACCGCTGCACTGCCATAATCCCTTTTGGTCGCGTGAAATGTCACTTGCAAATGTTATGTAACAGCATGACAGAGGGTAGGTCCTGGTAACTACTTTGAAAATGCAGGCGATGCGTTTCGTGCAATGCGATCAAACTTCGAAATTTATCCCTGTGGTTGAGATATCCTTCGGTAATCCGGACACTGAAATATTAGTTTTCATGAAGAAAAGAACTGTAATTCAGAGATGCAATTCCTGCTTAGACTCCCCTGGCAAGGCAGGAAAGCGGTGAAAAGAAGTTTCGGTTAGTCTGGCTTTTGATTTCGTATTTGTCTACTTGAGATCTATTTCGGCGAAGGCGGGTGCTGTGCTCAGAGTAGACGGGTGCCGGTACCCGGGTCCCGGCTTCTGATAAAACCCCTGCCATTTTTTGTCTTTGAACGGTGTATTTTTTACCTTGAAATGCAGAACTCTGGTCGTAAAACCACCACATGATGATCGCAGCAGCCATTTTGTTGAAAATGGATATCCTTAACTAAGGTTTCTAAATATGGTAAAAGTGAATATTCACAGGCATTGAACGCGAGTTACACGTTTCAACCCCTTATGAGTTTCTGATACAAGTCAATTTTAAACTCAAAGGTTACCTTGACATCTTGCAATATCGGTCTTTTCGTTTCTCAGCACTTGTTAAAAAAGGATGACAAAATCTTTCAAAATGCCTTAAACTGAAAGGTTACCTTGACGTCTTGCAATATCAGTCTTTTCGTTTCTGAGCACTTGTTAAAAAAGGATGACAAAATCTTTGAAAATCCCTTTTTTCATGAGTATTTCATTTACATGGGTAAAATCTCTCCAAATTGCAAAAATTTATTAGTGTTCTAAGGGAACTATGTTTCTTTTTAAAATGATTCCTCTTCTATTTGCTTTTCCTTGCTTTTTTCCATTCATTTCTTTTTGTTGATCTTTTTTTTCATGTATAGCCTTTTGGTGTTGTGTCTTGAAATGTTCCAATTTCTTTTCGTTGGGTTTCTTGGTTAGGTAGAGTTAATTATGGAGCAAAAACTCTAATATTATATGTTAAAAAGTGTATGTAATAAATGGTCTCTTTATTATCTTTTTCCTTTTTTAACTCGAGAAACTTACCTACAATCATCGTCAAAAGTGTTGGAAAGGTTGCCTTTTTTACCTCTCCTTTTTCTCCCCCCCCCCCCCCGCCCCTGGCCCAATGTTGGTCAAAACGTTAATGTTTGTGCACGCAACTGTTCTGTTATATCCCAACATTGAATAGGGGGGACAGGGGATATATAGCAAATGAGAAAAATGGTCTACTGTTCGTTGTTTTTCTATTGTAAGGATTAAAATGCAGACTACTGTTAGCAAGACTTATTCTTGGCATTGGAAAGTTTTCTCACATTACAAACCTTCCCAACTATAATTTTGTCTGTGTTTGATCTTATTAGTATAAAAAATTATATAATCTTAGGTCTACTGGTAAGCTTATTGGACCATCCCAAGGGAAAGATGCTTACAACACTGGGAGCAAGATCATTCTCAGCAGCAAAACTCTGGAATGACCTTTTGTCAGCAACATCACTTAACAGTTTTAAAACTTAAAACCTATCTTTTTTAAAAAGTATTTTTATAGTTTGTAACTTAGTTTATTTTATGCTCACGGTAATGTATTTTCGTTTTCTTTTAAACATATGATTGTAAAGCGCTATTGATCAGCACATGTAAATACGCGCTATATAAATTGGTAAATTATTATTATTATTATTGTACAACCTTCCCAACTAATTTTGTCTGTGTTTGTCTGAAAATTCTTGGTGTGGCCGTAAAAGGTCAAAAATCGATGACTTTTTGTCAGTAGAAACGTCTTCAAAAAACACTCGTAAACAGTACTCTGTTGAAAAAAAATATTTGCTGTACCTTGTTAAGACAGTTTTTGGCGCACACGCCTGTTTATATTCGGCATGTTTTGCAACCCGATAAGTACAACTATTGCTCTTTCCAGGGCACAGGAAGAGGGCCAAAATAGAAATGCAAGATTATTTTTGGTGAAAGCTATTGACTATAGCATGGGCTGATATGCTCCAAATGTTAAAGCAAGATATAGTGCGTTCACCAGTTCCCCAAAAAATCATTCGGATCATTACATTGCAGCTGACATATTCCTTGGCAGCTCCCCCATTCCTTACAACATTCAGCACATACCCATTTGGCACGCGAGCAAACTATGAGGCTGAGTGGAAATTTGAATTCTAGAGCCTACTTTCTCTGGCTGAATATCTCTAGTTAAGCCCTTGTGGCACTGCTTTTCGAAACTGGTTTCAGAAAACGAGAACAAAGTACGCTCTCGATTTAGATTAAGGCGTCTACTGTCTTTGTTAACCTAATTAAAAAGGGTAACACACGCAAAGTCATCACACACCACATTACTCCATTTTCGTAGCCGAAAATAATTCCTTTATAGTAGCGCTAATGACAAAATAGTCTAATTGACTTGTTCAGGGCTTTGCGAGGACTTAACCAAACGAATTTTAATAGACATTTTAGCTTAATTCTAAGTAAAAGACGACATTACTCCATGGATAGCGTTAAAATTAAACTAACTTTGCTAATTGACCTTTATGGGGCACTGTTTAAATAGAGTAATGTTGGGAAACAGTTGTTAAATTTATCCCCCGTAGATAAATGCGACAAAAGCTGTCCATATTCTTACATGGTTTACATGGTTTTGCCCTTTTCTTGTTTGATAGTTGGTTCATTGTGCATATATTTCGCATTTTCTTATGGAGTAATGTGGAAGCCCAGTTTGTTTACTGTTCTCAAATTATCCGAATGATTGACAGGCGACGCTAGCACAGCAATTTTTATATGAACTCTGAACATGGCTGAATAAAATCTTTGATAGAGGTTCCGTATTACTTTCAGGCCTTATGAAAATACAGTCTAGAAGATTTTAATTCGGCACTTATCTTACTCCTCCCTCGCAACTACAAACATCATGTTTTTCTAGGATAGTTTAACACCGCGAGAATGGAAAAAAAAAACTTTATTGTGGCAGCCTCTATGCCATTTCTATTTGTAACATCTTTCAAAATATTTCGCTGATAGGAAATGACAAAAGTTAACCAGGCATAATGCCGCTGATATACATGACAACGACAGCAATCCTATAGTATTTTTTACCTAAAAATACCCTCATGATTTTTCGTTAAATCTGGTAAAACAGACCACCTGTGGCCATTCTTTGTACATAGTCCACGCGAAGAAAACGTCCTCTTGCTTCATGAGGAAAATTAAAGGCCTTAAATGTTTTCTTCTGACGTTCTTAGAAGAAAGCGTTTTCACCCAGTGGATTTTGTGGTCACGCTATGAAATGTCACGCACGTCAGATGCAAAATTCTCCTACATGTATTTATGATTTTACCGAAATATAACCTTTATTATATTTTTTACATAGTTTGGAAAGTGCATTATCACCACAGTTCCAGGGCGAGATATCTCAACCAAATGTTAAATGCGACAAGTTTTATAAGCGTTTAAAGTTGATTTACTGTTCTCCTACAATCATCGTCAAAAGTGTTGGGAAGGTTGCCTTTTACCTCTCCTTTTCCTTCCCCCCCGCCCCTGGCCCAATGTTGGTCAAAACGTTAATGTTTGTGCGCGCAACTGTTCTGTTATATCCCAACATTGAATAGGGGGGACGGGGGATATTTAGCAAAAGAGAAAACTCTCTTTTTTCAGGATTAAAATGGACTACTGTTACGTTGTACAACCTTCCCAACTAATTTTGTCTGTGATTGTAGCTGTTTGCGCAGCACAAGTAAGCTCTCATTAATGGTGTTAATATCACGTTCTTCTCTGACAGCGAAGGTGTTGATCTTAAACGTTTTCTGAAATGCACTGCTAACAATGCAGTTTGATTTGGTGCATTAGATCATATTTAAATCTTATTTTTGTGTTTGGCAAATAACTTATTATTAATATTATTATTGTCACTATTTTTAATGTGGTGAAAAGAACTCGTAGCAAATTTTAGAAAACTTTTGAAAATCCCCCTTCTCTTTTTTATTTTAGATCCTTAACTCTGACTCTATTTGGAATACGTCTGGGTGAACTTTACTGAGTTGCAAATAGTCCTCTTGACACTACGTCAAAATAGATTTCATGGTGAAATTATTGTCTAAACCTCATAGAGACCTTTCTACTGATTTTGTGTCATCTGAAAATCTAGTATCCAGTTCAAATTTTCTTGCTGAGGTGACTGATTTTAGCGAGAAAATACAGCCTTCTCTTAAAGCTGTCAGTAAATAAGGGGACCTGGATGGTGATCTTTGCTTCAAAGTATTGCTTTTTAGAGAAAATGCCTCGTTTGAACTAAAATTTGCTAAAATAAAAGTATGGCTGCAACAGAGCCGATCTCAAAAATTCTTGAACTGGACCGTTGAATTATATACTGGGATCAAAGAACAGTGGAAACCCGATTTTTGGTTTCTTTTATCTCTGTGTGTAAAGATTAATACAAATTTTTGAGCAGCAAAAGAGACTTATGATTACCAACACATTCGTTTTTTCTTTTGTTCAAAAATAACATACATAACAACAAACCTTTTAGTGTTGATGTGTTAAGCTAATACAAGCTAATTGGGACACTAAGAGAATAGACAAATAACAAATATGTCTACAGTCTAAAAAATAGTTATGGCAATGATTCTGCAATTCCCTAAAATCTAAAATTTGATAAACATTTGAAATTTAGAATTATGGAGTATAAAACATACAGGAAAATACTATAAACGTCTAAAATTCTTAAGGGCTACAAATTATCCAGGAGCTGCAATTGTCCTTTATAAGATTCACAAGATCAACACGTGGTAAA